ACACTCTCCCAAACTGCTCGAACCTCCTCTCACCCACTTTAACAGAGAGAGAGAGAAGAGATTTTGCAGATTTTTCTTAATGGATTTCCCGATTAAAGGTGAGAGCTAGAAGATGGCTCTCTCTCTCTCTCTCTCTCTCTCTCTCTCTCTCTCTCTCTCTCTCTTACGTGACCCCCACTTTCAATCGTATGTCCCTCCCCTCCTTCCTCCCTCCTTCAATCCTACGTAAAAGTATCTTCCTTCCTACTCCTCTCCCCCTCTCTCACCCCTTCTCTCCCCTCTTTCCCTCCCCCTCACCCCTTCTCTCCCCTCACCCCCTTCTCTCCCCCTCACCTTCTCTCCCCTCTTCTCTCCCCCTCACCCCTTCTCCCCTTCTCTCCCCCCTCACCCCTTCTCTCCCCTCTCCCCTCTATATCGGGATCAGAACAAAAGCATTAAAGGGGAGAGGACACACGGGGTGGATGGCGCTTGTGTCATTCTCGCCCTCACACACCACCAGCAGCTCGCCTCACTCAACATACGATAATAATCATACGGCCTTCATACACACTCATACGGGTCTTATATTACTTTATTAGGAGTTTTATCATTCGACCTTCATATTATAATTATACGGGCTTCATACAGTAATTTTATACGGGCTTCATACAGTAATTTTATACGGACTTCATACAGTAATCATACGGCCTTCTTACAGTAATCATACGGGCTTCTTACAGTAATCATACGGCCTTCATACGATAATCATACGGGCTTCTTACAGTAATCCTTACGGGCTTCTTACAGTAATCATACGGCCTTCTTACAGTAATCATGCGGGCTTCTTACAGTAATCATACGGGCTTCATACGATAATCATACGGCCTTCATACGATAATCACACGGGCTTCTTACAGTAATCATACGGGCTTCTTACAGTAATCATACGGGCTTCTTACAGTAATCACACGGGCTTCTTACAGTAATCATACGGCCTTCTTACAGTAATCATACGGCTTCTTACAAAGTAATCATACGGCCTTCTTACAGTAATCTTACGGGCTTCTTACAGTAATCATACGGCCTTCTTACAGTAATCATACGGCCTTCTTACAGTAATCATACGGGCTTCTTACAGTAATCATACGGGCTTCTAACAATAATCATACGGGCTTCTTACAGTAATCATACGGGCTTCTTACAATAATCATACGGCCTTCTTACAGTAATCATACGGCCTTCTTACAGTAATCATACGGCCTTCTTACAGTAATCATACGGCCTTCTTACAGTAATCATACGGCCTTCTTACAGTAATCATACGGGCTTCTTACAGTAATCATACGGGCTTCTAACAGTAATCATACGGGCTTCTAACAGTAATCATACGGCCTTCTTACAGTAATCATACGGCCTTCTTACAGTAATCATACGGCCTTCTTACAGTAATCATACGGCCTTCTTACAGTAATCATACGGGCTTCTTACAGTAATCATACGGGCTTCTTACAGTAATCATACGGCCTTCTTACAGTAATCATACGGGCTTCTTACAGTAATCATACGGCCTTCTTACAGTAATCATACGGGCTTCTTACAGTAATCATACGGCCTTCATACGATAATCATACGGGCTTCTTACAGTAATCATACGGGCTTCTTACAGTAATCATACGGCCTTCATACGATAATCATACGGCCTTCTTACAGTAATCATACGGCCTTCATACGATAATCATACGGCCTTCTTACAGTAATCATACGGGCTTCTTACAGTAATCATACGGCCTTCATACGATAATCATACGGCCTTCTTACAGTAATCATACGGGCTTCTTACAGTAATCATACGGTCTTCATACGATAATCATATAATCATTCGGTCATTAAATCATAAACTTACCTATGTAACTAATACAAGTATACATCATACATAGTATACATGCTTTAGTGAGGCTCAGCACCGTTATTCATCATACTAATTACTGTTGTATACATAAATATTAATTAGTCCAGTTGACACGTAATTAGCATATATAATTATACTTTCTTTTCACGAATTATCATACTTAATACACAAAAATAAATTATACCCTATATTTGTTTATCATACTTAGAATCATATTTATTATACGAACACAATCATACTTTAGACCAATATAATCATACTGTTTCTCATGTATAATAATCATACTCATACATAATTATACTGTTTATCACACATACCACTCATACTTACTATTATACACTCTGAATCATACATTTTATCATACATACATCAATTATACTCACTATACACTCAGAATTATACTATATCATACACATATCAATAATACACTGCATATTTAAAATCACACACAATATACACCTAGTAATCATTCTTATTATACATGATCATACTTGATACACTGTGTTTACGAGTTGTTTTCAGTGTGTTTACGAGTTGTTTTATAATTTGTCCTTGCATAATGTTTACAAGTTTTAGTGTTCGTGTTTACCAAATGATTTACAAGTTGTGGGTGTAAACTAGAGCTGTAGGTCATGGTTACTGGTTGTTTTTTTTACAGTTTGTTTTTATAAAGTTTTAATTACAGTTATTCACATTTGATGATGAGTGTCAGTTTTTTTTATAGATTTTATTTTAAATGGTTGTAAAAGTATAATTTACAGTTGTTGGTGATACAAACAAACGATAGTGTGGGATGAGTGTCTTAAGGGTCGCTGGTTCGATCCCGGGGCACCCCTTAGTTGACCCACCTGTACAGTATATGGGTACCCAAGTTTATAGGTGGGGAAATAAAGGCGGTCGAGTAGTGTCGGCCACGCTGCCTCCTTGTGCACTGAAGGCTTAGTATGCAGTATCCACACAGTCCGTAACGGGCCTGTGGGACCCATTTTCACAATACTTAGTATAGTCATTGCTGGACCCGACACAGGAAACATGTTGCAAGATACGTGAACGAAATTTGCAATTGAATCTGCAAGTGTCAGGGCGTTGCGAAGAACACAAGCTTGATTTACTATTGCGCCCCAGGCTATGAATTATTAATTAATCCGATTGAATAACAACGCTGAATATAACAAAGGAAAGATTTGCAATTGCAGCGCCAGTTTGCAGAGCTGCCGACAGTGTTGCAAAATATACACTCAAGCTTTGAACTGGACTTTTCAAAGCATATATAAACCCATGGTGTAAGAAGTTTGCAAAATACACAAACGAGACTCACAATTCAACCTGCAATTGAAGCAACACCTTGATTTGTGAGTAGAGGACTTTGATGTGTATGATGTACAGGGAGTTTCTTGACCCTCACACACCGACGTAGGTATATAGACAGGTGGATAGATGGAGAGACAGATGTATAGACACATAGTTATGGAAAATAGTCATACAGGATCACATTGATTCGGCATGTACTCTACCACATAGACAGTGTAGATATACAAACATTATACATAGACAGTGTAGGTATACAAACATTATACATAGTGTAGGTATACAAACATTATACATAGTGTAGGTATACAAACATTATGCATAGACAGTGTAGGTATACAAACAATATAGATGGTTGTAGTACTTCCCTCTCCGGTGGTGTTGTAGAGGATAACAGGTGGTTGTTGTACTTCCCTCTCCGGTGTTGTTGTAGAGGATAACAGGTGGTTGTTGTACTTCCCTCTCCGGTGTTGTTGTAGAGGATAACAGGCGGTTGTAATACTTCCCTCTCCGGTGTTGTTGTAGAGGATAACAGGCGGTTGTAATACTTCCCTCTCCGGTGTTGTTGTAGAGGATAACAGGTGGTTGTAGTACTTCCCTCTCCGGTGTTGTTGTAGAGGATAACAGGTGGTTGTAATACTTCCCTCTCCGGTGGTGTTGTAGAGGATAACAGGTGGTTGTTGTACTTCCCTCTCCGGTGTTTTTGTAGAGGATAACAGGTGGTTGTAATACTTCCCTCTCCGGTGTTGTTGTAGAGGATAACAGGTGGTTGTAATACTTCCCTCTCCGGTGTTGTTGTAGAGGATAACAGGTGGTTGTAGTACTTCCCTCTCCGGTGTTGTTGTAGAGGATAACAGGTGGTTGTAATACTTCCCTCTCCGGTGGTGTTGTAGAGGATAACAGGTGGTTGTTGTACTTCCCTCTCCGGTGTTTTTGTAGAGGATAACAGGTGGTTGTAATACTTCCCTCTCCGGTGTTGTTGTAGAGGATAACAGATGGTTCGTAATACTTCCCTCTTCGGTGTTGTTGTAGAGGATAACAGATGGTTGCAATACTTCCCTCTCCGGTGTTGTGAGGATAACAGATGTTGTTGTACTTCCTCTCCGGTGTTGTTATGAGACAACAGGTGGTTGTAATACTTCCTCTCCGGTATTTGTGAGGATAACAGGTGGTTGTAGTACTTCCCTCTCCGGTGGTGTTGTAGAGGATAACAGATGGTTGTAATACTTCCCTCTCCGGTGGTGTTGTAGAGGATAACAGATGGTTGTAATACTTCCCTCTCCGGTGGTGTTGTAGAGGATAACAGGTGGTTGTTGTACTTCCCTCTCCGGTGGTGTTGTAGAGGATAACAGGTGGTTGTTGTACTTCCCTCTCCGGTGGTGTTGTAGAGGATAACAGGTGGTTGTAATACTTCCCTCTCCGGTGTTGTTGTAGAGGATAACAGATGGTTGTAATACTTCCCTCTCCGGTGTTGTTGTAGAGGATAACAGATGGTTGTAATACTTCCCTCTCCGGTGTTGTTGTAGAGGATAACAGGTGGTTGTAATACTTCCCTCTCCGGTGTTGTTGTAGAGGATAACAGATGGTTGTTGTACTTCCGTCTAAATAAGTTATAATAACCCCAATAAAGCACACACACACACACACAAACAAAAACACGTACATTGGACCACACGTATACAGGACCAGACACGTATACAAGACCACACACCCGTTCACAGGATCACACACACGTACACAGGGCCAAACACACATGTATACTGGGCTGCAGGTACACAGTGCCACACTCATACACAACACCTACCTGGTGGCGAAGTTGGTACACTCGTCCTTGGTGGTCCTCCAGGGGTAGTATGAAGGGCGGGAGTAGTCGAGCATCAGCAGGAGGGGTCTGTGTTGTCTCTCCGCCTCTGCAGGAGCCACGAGCCCATGAGGGCCCGCTAGAGATGGGGAGGAGCCTTGTGCCGTGTTTTCGGAGGTGTTGGCTGAGTTAACTCCTGTAGGGGAATCAATACCACGACGTGTGCCGACTTCAAAGGTCCCATCATCACCTACACGTCTCCAGTGTTGCCCCAGTGGGTGTTTCCACTCCATTGGCAACACCTGTAGTTCTGGCTCAACACCTGCCGCCCTCTCACCATCATTTACCTCGACTCTAGCCAAGTTTTCATTGTTTTTATCACTGATTTTATGGGGGAGTCTCTGAGAACGTGTGTCACTGATGTAAGTGGCGGCCCTCAACACCTGTGTCTCCCTCACCTCCTGTCTATCATGGTGAGATTCTATCACGTCTTTAACATAGTGAGATTTTTCTGGTAATTCCTTTGACGTGTCCTGTGGGTCTTTGGTGGAGAGAAAGGAGGGGGAAGTGTGGAGGACAAAGAGGAGGAGGGAGAGCCCCGTGGAGGCGCTTAAAGCAGCCAGTAAACGTTGCTTTTTCCTGAAGTGGCAGCAGCGGACACAGGCGCTGCCGGTGCCGGCACTTGACAGAGGAGGACACACCATGCCTACTACTGAAGCGCCACTACCACGCCCCACAGTTCTCAACACATCCACACTGTACATCATTCCTCCTTCCCTCCACCACACTCACCCATCTCAGCTGGAGTGCCTGCCTGCTGTGCCAGGAACACGATAATGTCACCTCCCTCTCCTGACGGCCGCCACACAGTACCTCCCTCCACACACTGATAACCTCCCACTCATCCAAATGTATCTTACTATTCCTCAACAAGACGACATTAACGATTAACTTCGATAAATATGATGTTTTGGGGGAGTTTTGTGGGCGTTTTTCTCACATAGTGCCGCGAGGATCACTGTCAGCCAAAACACTGTTGTCTTACTCTCAGTCACACGTAAGTTTGAGTAATATTAAGCCTCAGGTAAGAGGAGCAGCGGCCACACCTGCCTGCGACCAGGTATTAATTCTCTCTGGATCTCGTTTTCTAATCCAGGAACCACAGGTAGGCGTTCAGCTGAAACTTCCATTTTCTACCACACGCGACATCTCTCGGCCAATCAGAGCTCAGAATTAACCCCAGAGATCATACTAGGGGGAATACTATTGGCTGAAATCGTTGACCAGCGATCAATTAGGACGAAATCAGTGACATTTATAGTGACTACGATCAACGGGAAGCAGTGGGTGCCATTTTGGTTATGTTTCTTAACTTTGACGGATATTTCTGTCTCACTAACCAGAGCTGCTGCCGTCCTGGACCTGCTGTTGCTACGGCAGACACACACACTGCCCGGGGAGAGGCGGGTGGCGGGGACGTAGTGAGGGTGGTGAGGCACACACGCAGCTCTCCTACCTCACTCGAGGATCAAACGTCCAGGCAACACACACACACACACACACACACACACACACACACACACACACACAAGGCAGCGTCAAGCAACACACATATGGTCGAGCCATAACACACACACACACATGGTCGAGCTGGTAACACACACACACACACACACACACACGGCAGCGTCAAGCAACAACATATGGTCGAGCTAGCACACACACACACACACACACACACACGGAGCGTCAAGCAACACACATATGGTCGAGCCAGTACACACACACACACACATGGTCGAGCTGTGACATACACACACACACACAGGCAGCGTCAGCAACACACATATGGTCGAGCTAAGTAACACACACACACACATGGTCGAGCCAAACACACACACACACACACACACACACACACACACACATACACACACGGCAGTCAAGCAACACATATGCTTGAGCCAGTAACACACACACACACATGGTCGAGCCATAACACACACACACACACACACACACGGCAGCTGCAAGCAACACACATATGCTCGAGCCAAGCAACACACACGCACACACATGGTCGAGCTAGGCACACACACACACACATGGTCGAGCCAAGTAACACACACACACACACATGGTCGAGCTAGCAACACACACACATGCTGAGCCAAGTAACACACACACACACACACATGGTCGAGCCAAGTAACACACACACACACACACACATGGTCGAGCCAAGTAACACACACACACACACACACATGGTCGAGCCAAGTAACACACACACACACACACACACACACACACACTCACGACAGCGTCAAGCAGTACATACACACATAGTTGAGCCAACACACACACACACACACAGGCAATTACTCTAAAGCTCTAAGCAGAAATTGAAGACTACATCATTACGATAATGACGACTCACACTACATCACACTAACGAAGTCGACACTCTACTACAGCACACTAACGAGGTCGACACTCACACTACATCATACTAACGAGGTCGACACCACACTCACATCACGCTAACGAGGTCGACACTCACACCATCACACTAACGAGGTCGACACTCACACTACATCACACTAACGACGTCGACACTCACACCACATCGCACTAACGAGGTCGACACTCACACTACATCACACTAACGAGGTCGACACCTATACTACATCACACTAACGAGGTCACACCACTACATCATACTAACGAGGTCCACACACTCACTACATCAAACTAACGAAGTCGACGCTCTTACTACAGCACACTAACGGGGGTCGACTCACACTACATCATACTAACGAGGGTCGACACTCACACTACATCACACTAACGAAGTCGACACTCTTACTACAGCACACTAACGAGGTCGACACACACTACATCACACAACGAGGTCGACACTCACTACATCACACTAACGAAGTCGACACTCTTACTACAGCACACTAACGAGGTCGACACTAACTACACTTACTAACGAGTCGACACTACACCACATCACACTAACGAAGTCGACACTCTTACTACAGCACACTAACGAGGTCGACACTCACACTACATCACACTAACGAGTGTCGACACTACACTACATCACAGTAACGAGGTCGACACTCACACTACATCACACTAAGAGGTCGACACTCACACTACATCACACCAACGACGTCGACACACCACATCACACTAACAGAGGTCGACAGACTACACTACATCACACTAACGAGGTCGACACTCATACTACATCACACTAACGAGGTCGACACCACACATCACACTAACGAGGTCGACACACCACATCACACTAACGAGGTCGACACTCACACTACATCACACTAACGAGGTCGACACCACACTAATCCACTAATTTTTCACCTTTAAATCTCTCTCTTCATTCCCCTCACTTTCTTCCCTTCCTCCCCCACCCTCCTCCTTAACCACTGCCTTTCTACTCCCCCACTTTCCTCCCCTGCACCCCTCACTTCCTTCCCTGCACCCTCACTTCTCCTCCCCGGTACTTCCTCACTTTCCTCCCTGCACTCCCTCACTTTCCTCCCCGTACTCCCCTCACTTTCCTCCCCCGTACCCTCACTTTCCTCCCTCAGTACTCCCCTCACCTCTCTCCAACCACTGCCTCTTACCCCTCCTCTCTCTCCCTTCACTCCCCTCACTCTTTCCTCCCCGTACTCCCCTACTTTCCTTCCCTGCACTCTCACTTTCCTCCCCGTACTCTCCACCACCTCATCCTCACCTCACTCCCCCTCACCACAGCGTCTTGCTAAGCCCATCATCCAACCCTCCTCTGATTGGTCACGAAGAGATGAGGGAAACGCACCAATTATAGATTCATGACAATAATGGGAGATAGATGGGAGATGAGAGATAGGTGGGGAGGTAGATAGGTGGGAGGTGAGGAGATAGATGGTGGTGAGAGATAGGTGAGGAGGTGAGAGATAGATGGGGAGGTGAGAGTAGGTGGGTGGGTGAGGGAGATAGATGGGATAGAGAGATAGGTGGGTGGTGAGAGATAGGTGGGAAGGGTGAGAGATAGGTGGGGAGGGGAGAGGATAGGTGGGGAGGGAGGAGATAGGTGGGGAGGTGAGAGATAGGGGGAGGTGAGAGATAGGTGGGGAGGTGAGAGAGCAGAGATGGGGTGGGAGATAGGTGGGAGGTGAGAGAAGGGGAGAGACAGGGGGTGGGGAGAGATGGGGGAGGTGAGAGATGGGGTGGGTGGGAGGTGGAGATAGGTGGGGAGAAGGGGGAGGAGAGGTGGGTGGTGAGGAGATAGGTGGGGAGGTGGGAGATAGGGGTGGGGTGGTGGGAGAGATAGGTGGAGGTGAGAGATAGATGGGTGGGGAGAGATAGGTGGGTGGTGAGATAGGGGAGGAGATAGGTGGGTGGGTGAGAGATAGGTGGGGGTGGTGAGAGATAGGGGGAGGTGAGATAGGTGGGTGGGAGAGATAGGGGGGTGGTGAGAGATAGGTGGGTGGTGGGAGGAGATAGATGGGGGAGGAGAGATAGGTGGGGTGGGTGAGATAGATGGGAGGTGAGAGATAGTGGGGTGGTGAGAGATAGGTGGGTAGGAGAGATAGGTGGGGAGGTGAGAGATAGGGTGGAAGAGGGGGGAGGTGAGATAGGTGGGTGGTGAGAGATAGATGGGGAGAGATAGGTGGGGTGGTGGAGAGATAGGTGGGTGTGAGATGGGGAGGTGAGATAGGTGGGGTGGTGAGAGATAGATGGGGAGGTGAGAGATAGGTGAGGTGGTGAGAGATAGGTGGGGTGGGTGAGAGATAGTGTGGGTGGGGAGATAGGTGGGGGTGGGGAGATGATGGGGAGGTGGGGAGAGATAGGTGGGTGGTGAGAGATAGGTGGTGGTGAGAGATAGAGGGGGGAGGTGAGAGAGATAGATATGAGGTTTTAGATTAGGTGGGAGGAGGAGATAGTGGGGAGGTGAGAGATAGGTGGGGGTGAGAGATAGGTGGGGGGGGTGAGGAGATAGGTGGGGTGGGTGAGAGATAGGTGGGAGGTGAGAGATAGGTGGGGGGAGAGATAGGTGGGGAGGTGGAGACCTGTTGTACTGGTGTTGTGGTTGTTGCACTGACCAACGAAAAGACATAGTGAACACAGCTGAGGTGTTCGTGGAACACATGAGGTGATCGTGGTGAACACTGCTGAGGGTGTTCGTGTGGAAATGTAGCGCTGAGGTGTTCGTGAACACAACTGAGGTGTTCGTGGAACACAACTGAGGTGTCTGTGGAACACAGCTGAGGTGTTCGTGGTGAACACAACTGAGGTGTTCGTGGAACACAGCTGAGGGTGTTCGTGGTGAACACAACTGAGGTGTTCGTGGTGAACACAGCTGAGGTGTCTGTAGAACACAACTGAGGTGTTTCGTGGTAGAACACAACTGAGGTAGTTCTGGCAGTCACAGCTGAGGTGTTCGTGGTGAACACAGCTGAGGTGTTCGTGGTGAACACAGCTGAGGTGTTCGTGGTGAACACAGCTGAGGTGTTCGTGGTGTACGCGTCAACTAGTGTCACACAATATTGATTTTCTTTTAATAATGGTGACGCACCCTAGTTGTGTGTGTGTACGTTTTTTGTGTGAGTGTGTGTGTGTGTAGACTAATTTATGTTGCTTGTGCTCATCTTGTGTGTTATGTATCCTCTGTATTCTTGTGTGTTATGTATCCTCTGTATTCTTGTGTGTTATGTATCCTCTGTATTCTTGTGTGTTATGTATCCTCTGTATTATTGTGTGTTATGTATCCTCTGTATTCTTGTGTGTTATGTATCCTCTGTATTCTTGTGTTATGTATCCTCTGTATTATTGTGTGTGTATCCTCTGTATTCTTGTGTGTTATTGTATCCTCTGTATTCTTGTGTGTTATGTATCCTCTGTATTCTTGTGTGTTATGTGTCCTCTGTATTCTTGTGTGTTATGTGTCCTCTCATTCTTGTGTGTTATGTATCCTCTGTATTCTTGTGTGTTATGTATCCTCTGTATTCTTGTGTGTTATGTATCCTCTGTATTCTTGTGTGTTATGTGTCCCTCTGTATTCTTGTGTGTTATGTGTGTCCTCATTCTTGTGTGTTATGTATCCTGTATTCTGTGTTATGTGTCCTCTGTATTCTTGTGTGTTGTGTATCCTCTGTATTCTTGTGTGTTAGTAAGTCCTCTGTATTCTTGTGTGTTATGTATCCCCTGTATTCTTGTGTGTTATGTATCCTCTGTATTCTTATGTGTGTGTTATGTATCCTCTGTATTCTTGTGTGTTATGTATCCTCTGTATTCTTGTGTGTTATGTATCCCTGTATTCTGTGTGTTATGTATCCTCTGTATTATTGTGTGTTATGTATCCTGTATTCTTGTGTGTTACGTATCCTCTGTATTCTTGTGTGTTATGTATCCTCTGT